CTCACACTGGGCGCGTGTGTGTGCGTGCCCAAGATCCCGAGAGGAGAATGGAAGAGAAGGGATTGCGGCATAGCCGCCCCTCTTGGAGGTGTGATTTCTCGCTTTCTGTCTCTCTGTCTGTCTCTGTCCCTGTCTGGTGAGCGCACGTGCCCTATAGCAAAAACCTCTCCTCCCCCCCAAAAAAAGCTTTTGAGTAGGAGAATGTCAGTGTTATAATTAGAGTTAATTGTGAGAAACTGAAATAAATATATTTTTTCCCCAAAATGCTCATCTGAACGTGTGAAACTGTTCTTCACTAGATCTTAGCCAGAACATTAAGAAGCGATGTGAGAAAGTTGTTCCTAAGTGATTGTATCTCAGAGCCAGCCACACACTCTCTGTTCTCTGTGCAGGTGGGTCCAGAATTCCTGGTAAAAGGTGAAAGATTTGGTGATGTGTTTATCAGGATCGTTTACATTTTCCAGTCAGTAGCAGTAGCAGACATCTGTGAAATCTCATTGATCCCCTAATTTGAGGAACTTGAGAGACCCTGGAGAAAAACAGAACAATTCTTGCTGAAATCAGTCATTGTGCTTCAACTGTTAAATCTCTGAGTGGAGAATTTTTATTCTGTATACTGTGTCAAAAGCAGCCTATCTAGGGGTGGATGAATGCTTTGAGAGATTAAATGTATAAAAGGTACCTTAACTTCAGTAGATATTCTGACTCACAATGACAGGACCTCTCCCAGAGTTGAACCTTGTTAGTCTTTTTTTTTTTTTTTCTTTAAAGGGAGATTTTTGCTATAGGGCACATGTGCTCGCCAAGTGACAGAGACAAACAGAAAGTGAGAAATCATCCCCCTGGGGGGATGGCCATGCCGCAGTCCCTCCTCCTCTTGAGAATTTGGGAACGCGCACACACACGCATGCACCCAGATAGTCACTTATTTTAAGAAGGAAACTTCCAGGAGAAAACCGGGTAAAGATTTCCTAACTTGGAAAGAGCATATACCTAGACAGAACACATTAAGATAAAAATAAAGGAAGCAGCAGGTGGTGTGGTGGTTAAGGTAGCTGGATCCCACACGGATGGCTACGACATGGTTTGAGTTGTAGACCCTGTGGCTTGAAAAACATACAAGGCGTGTGTGTGTGTGTGTGTGTCTGTGTGTGCATGCTCAAAATCTTGAGGGGAGAAAGGATTGCATTATGGACATCTCTCCCTGAAGGGTGCTTTCTCATTTTCTCTGTCTGTCTCCACTAAGCACATATGCCCTATAGCAAAAATTAAAAAAAAAAAAAAAAAAAAAAGGAAAAAAAAAATTGAGTTGTTGGAAAACGCATTTTCTATTATTGTATTTATCACTAAAAACATCATGATGTGCTTTTTTTTTTTTGAGAGGTTTTTGCTATAGGACGCATGTGCTCGTCAGACAGAGAGACAGACAGAGAGATAGAAAGTGAGAAATCACCCCCCGGGGGGATGGCCATGCCACAATCCCTTCTCCTCCATTCTCCTCTTGGGATCTTGGGCACGCACGCACATGCGCCTGGCGAACCGCAGTCGACTATGTGGGAGTCCAGCGACATAGCCATTATGCTAACTGCTGGTCCCATGATGTGCTTTTGTATGTAAAAGTGTGTCATGACTTTTCTGACAATCCAGTGTTTCCCCGTATTCCCTCACCCTTCTGTTTTGATGTACAGAGCTTTAATCTGTCTTTAGTATGTATGCACTTAGGTCATTTTATAAGAATGAAGTACATTATATGCTTTATTTTTTACACTGGGATGAAGCCTGATCGTTATGGGGATGTTGAGTTGTCGTGTTCCCGTGACTGTTTCTGCACTGCCCTCCCGTGCGGTTTTGTTGCTGCTTTCTGTACTAGTGCCATGGGAGCCAGTGTGAGCACTCGTGACTGTTTCCTGTAACCTCACACAGGGAACTGTTGGCTGTGGACTGCTTTTCTGGAGGTCAGAACTCTTTGTCTGGAATACACAGGTGTGGAAGGCCTTCATCAAAGCCACTCAGTTTGATCCAAAGTTGCTAAGGTGGACCAGCTTGTGAAGACAATACTACTCCAGCAAAACAGCAGTTGCCTTTCTGACCTGAACTCTTCAGAAAAGCCTTGTCTACACCAGGGTCATTCCCAAAGAGTTCTACCAGACCTGGGAGACTGGGACCCCCCCAACCCTCGGCTTGTCCATTTGGAGCCTCATTCTTCTCCTTGTCCCTGAGAGTTTGTACTGCTTAGTCATGAAGTCACCATCCTTACTAGAACAGATGGGCAGATCTTTCCCAATCCCCAGGGAACCCTGTCTGGAGGATTGGTACCCTCAGAATTAATTCTGAACACAGAGGGCCCTGTGGGCTTGGTTTCAGAGGATGCTCATCTCTGTGACTTGTATCTGTTTGCACTTGCTTCTCTTGCTGAGCTCTCCCTGAGCTACACCACTACCTGCCTGTACCAAAGTGTTCATTTTCAAGTTGAGTGTGTGTGTGTAATTTGTCAGTGGGTGTGTGTGCTTGCTGGAGAGACACGGAGAGAGAAAGCAAAGAAGCCCTCCCTCACCCCCCGTGGGGAGTGCTCATACTACAGTCCTTTCTCCATCTCTCCTTCCTTTTGGGATTTTGAGCATGCATGCACACATGCACATGTATCCAATGTGATTTTCAAGTTGCCCGGTCTGGGACTTGAACTGTAGTCAGCTATGTGAGATGCAGCCACCCTAAACACTGGGCAATAGGCTAGCCCCCTTTATTATTTTTAATTAAAATTTCTTTCTTTCTTTCTTTCTTTTTTTTTTTTTTTTTTTTTTTGTGGGGGCTAGCCTAATAGTTAAGGGATCCAGATACCACATGACAGACCATCGTTTGAGTCCTAGCCCCAATGGCGTGACAAGCATGCTATGCATGCATGCTTGTGTGCCCCCAATATTGACAGGATAGAGAAGTGGAAGAGAAAGGATTTTGGTGTGACTATGCCTCATGGGGGAGGGAATGAAGATGCTTTCTCCCTCTCTCTCAGTGTCTCTCTGGTAAGTGCACATGCTCCCTGTCAATATTTTTTAAAAAATTGAGTAATGTTATAATTTACTTTTTAAAATAATAGATTTATTGAGGTGTAATTCAGATACAAAATTTGCCATTTTTTGTGTATGATTCAGTGATTTTTAGTGTTTTAAGCCATTATGTCCGGGACTGAAACCTAGGTCAAGTATGTGGGAGTCCAGAGATGTAACCATTACGCCATCTGCTGATCCCTCATTGTGGTCTTACTACTTTTTTTTGGAGGGGGGTAGAGGGTTGTTTGTTTGTTTTGCTATAGGGTGCATGTGCTTGCCAGAAAGAGAGACAGAGAGTGAGAAATCACCTCTTGGTGGTGGGGGTAGGGGGGTGGGGGTGGTGGCGGCCCTATCCCTTCTCCTCCATTCTCCTCTTGGGATCTTGGGCGCATATGCACCCAGTATGAGTTTAAGTCACCAGGTCTGGAACTTGAACCACACACAGTCGACTACATGGGAGGTCAGCGAAATAGCCATTACGCCAACTGCTGGTTCCGTGGTCTTACTACTTTTATGCTTGTCTGTTTATGTTTTATGCTTGTCTATCCATCAGGTGAAAGACATTAGGTTTTCTTCTCTTTTTGGATATTGGAATAATGTCCTCTTATGAACACTCCCACATAAGTTTTTGTGTGAATGTAAGTTTTTCTTTGTATGTATAGCTGGGTTGTATAGTCTCTTATGGTTAACGTTTGAGGAATTGCCAGTGTTTTCCAAAGCAAGTGGGACATTTTCTGTTCTCATCAGTGTGACAATTCCAGTTTCTCTTCATCTTCACCAACAGTTGTTATTATCTTTTATCATTTTAGATGTCCTAGTAAGTAAGAAGTGGTATCTCACTGATTTTGATTGACATTTCCCTAATGACTAATAATATTAAACATCTTTTCATTTGCTTAGTGACTGTTTATATATATATTCATTGGAAAAATGTTCCAATCCTTTGCCCATTTCAAAATTGGGATATTTGCCTATTACTGAGTTGTTTTTTTTTTTTTTTAACTTTCGAATCCACTTTTATTTTCTTTTGTTCTCCTCACATACAAAACTTCACACATCATGTTTCTTACAGTTAGTTATTAAGTCACTTGATGTCAGCAAGGTACCATTTTATCCCTAAAGATTTGTTGGCATCAAAATTTGACAGTTGGTGGGGCCAGCAAGTGGCATGGTGGTTAAGGACACTGGACTCCCACATGGCCAACCATGGTTCAAGTCTCGGACCTGGTGGCTTGCTTTCTCACTTCCTCTCTCTCTCTGTCTCTCTCTCTGATCAAACTGGAAAATAACAATGATAATAATAATAAATAAAGTTAAATAAAATAATTCTTTTTAAAAAAAATCTGACAGTTGGGACCAGCAGTTAGCGTAATGACTATGTTGCTGAACTCCCATGTAGCTGACCACAGTTCGTGTCCCAGACCCGGTGGCTTAAAACTCATACCAGGCGCGTGTGCGTCGTGCCCAAGATCCCGAGAGGAGAATGGAGGAGAAGGTATTGCGGCGTGGCCATACCCCTGGGGGGGTGATTTCTTGCTTTCTATCTCTCTGTCTTTCTGGCAAGCGCACACGCTCTGTAGCAAAAACCTCTAAAAAAAAAAAAATCTAACAGTTAACCACGGTCATATCCTTAAACTACATAGCACAGCACATTAAGCTTTACACGCTTGGCGATTAAACCACAGAGAGAGAGGACAAGATTCCCGATTCTGCATGCTCAGAATCAGGTGTTCCCCATCCCTATCTGACCACTGAATACTGGTTCAAAGGGCAACGGAGGCAACAGGCAGTTACTTCAGAGGACACTGAACTATGGTCAGGAGGCCCATTGTGATGTCACCCAGTGTCATATACCATGCCACCTTTCTCTAAGGTGACAGGTCCAGCTGATAAAAAGAGAACACAGTATTTACTCTTTGGAGACCTCCTACTCAGACTATGCATGCACGGTGGCTTTGAATGTAACTCGTCCCAGAAACTTGTGATCATCCTGGTTTCTCAGGTTGGGTGACTCATCGACTTTGCACTCAACTGTTCTTTTCTATAGCCGTTGTGATCAAAGGGGACCTGGACAGCAACTAGGGGTTATAGATATCCCACAATTTTTTTTCCCGTAATACGGAAAATATTTTAAGTCTGTAACTCCAAGATTAGGATAGTGTTTAAAGCTGCTGTGTATTTACCCTTCTCAGTACAGTCTATCCTTTGTTCTCCTTTAGGCTTTAGCCAATTATTTTGTTCATTTTCCCAAGAATACAGGAGTTTCCTTGGGAATAGCCAAAATCAGCATCATCCATACCACTGCATGGTTGAACTATTGTAAGAGGAAATGGACATTCACTCTTCTGGTCAAAAAGCACTCCATCATGACAGCCTGTGACATTCTTCTGCTCTCATGTAGTATATGGCTCTAGAAACTTCTTAAGGTCTTGAATGTACTCTTCATAGGAAGCTGGATTAGACAGGCTGAATGAATATTCCAATGCAGTCGCTGGTTTTGGAAAAACTGTAAGTCCTGGACTGGGGATCTGGTCATGGTATTTTGGAACCTCATCATTCAGAGTCTGAAGCATAACCCACACTGTGAGAAAAGTGCAGCCAGGAACCCATAAAACACTAGGTAGAAGAGCAAGATCAAACCCCAGCTCTTGGTGACGTGCCCCAAGATCTCATCTACAACTCTCTGGGTTGTAGATGAAGAGCTTCCAGTCAGCCAGGATCTAGTTGAAGGACTTCTTCTTCATAGTGTGTGCAGGGAAGACCAGGGAAGCAGCAGCTGCAGGTGTCCAGGCTCTCGGGGCACAGCCCAACGGTGGAGGATGGGACGGCTGAGGACATCTTGTTGCTGGAGCTGACTGCCAAGTTTCTTTCTTTCTTTTTTTAAAGAGATTTTTGCTACAGGGCGCATGCGCTTGCTGGAGAGACAGAAAAAGAAACCACCCCACCCCCCACCCCAGGGGGAATGGCCATGCTGTAATCCCTCCTTCTCCATTCTCCTTTTGGGATTTTGGGTATGCACACACACTTACCTGGTGTAAATTTTAAGTCAGGTCCAGGACTCAAACCATGGTCAACTACTTGGGAGTCCAGCGACGAAACCATTACACCATCTCCTGGTCCTGAAAATTTTAAAAAAATTGGAATGCATGGGCCCTGTTATGTGGGTTTTTTTTTTTTTTTTTTTTTTTTTTTTAAATTTTTTAAAAGAATTATTTAATTTAACTTTGCTTATTATTATTATTTTCCAGTGTTTTGATGAGAGAGAGAGACAGAGAGAGGGAAAGTGAGAAAGCAAGTTGCCAGGTCCAGAACTTGAACCGCATTCAGCCATGTGGGAGTCCAGCGCCTTTAACCACCATAGCACCTGCTGCCCCCATTACTGAGTTTTGAAGTCTTATACATACTCTGGGTGCAATTTCTAATTTCTTCATTCCAGGACATGTATTATTTCCAAATATTTTCTTCTATTCCTTGTTTTTTTTTCTTTCTTTTCTTTTTTTCCTTATTTGCTGTAAGGGTACATGTGCTCACCGCAGAGAGACAGAGAAATAAAATAAGAAAGCCATCCCCATAAGGGGGATGACCATGCCTCAGTCCTTTCTGCTTCCTTGTTGGAGTTTTCAGCACACATGCACATCCAGTTGCCTTAACCACCAGTGTACTAGCTGACTTTCTTATAATGTCCTTTTCTTTTTTTTTTAAAGAATTTATGTAATTTTATTTATTATTAAAAAATTACTATAGGGCATGTGCACTTTAGTAAAGAGAGAGAGAGAGAGAGAAAGTAAGAAAGCAAGCCTCTGGGTCCTAGACTCTAACCACAGTCAGCTATGTGGGAGTCCAGTGCCTCACCACACCACCTGCTCACATCTCTCTTAATGTTTTTTTTTTTTTTTTAAGAGTTATTTTATTTAACTTTATTTATCCATGTATTTAATTTGATCAGAGGGGGACAGAGCAAGATAGAGAAAGTGAGAAATCAAGCCACCAGGTCTGGGACTTGAACCGCAGTTGGGCATATGGGAGTCCAGCGCCCCCCACCACTATGCCACCTGCCGGCCCCATCTTTTAATACTCTTAATGGTGTCCTTTGGTGCACCAAAGTTTTTAGCTTCAATGAAGTCCAATTCATCAATTTTTTTCTTTAGTTACTTGGGCTTTTGGTATCATAATTAAGAAACCATTGCCTGATACAAGATCACAAAGATTTATACCTATTTTCTTCTTAGAGTTATATGATTTTAGTTCTTTTATTCTTTGATGCATTTTGGCTTTATTTTTGTTTTTAATGTGAGGTAGAAGTTCAGTTATTTGGTTTTTGTTTCCTTTTTTTTTTTTTTTTTTTTAGAGATTTTTTGCTATAGGTTGTGTGCACTTGCCAAAGAGAAAGAAAGTGAGAAACCACCACCCTGGGGATGGTCACCCATAGTGCCTTCTCTTCCATTCTTCTCTTGTGTTTTTGGGAACGCATGCACACGCATGACTGGTGTGTTTCAAGCCACCGGGCCTGGGACTTAAACTGCAGTTGGCCATGTGGGAGTCCAGCATCTTAACCACTGTGCCGCCTACTGGCCTCTCAGTTTTTTTTTTTTTTAATTTCCAGAGGCCACATGGACTTGCCAGAGGGAGAGAAAGCACTCCTCCTGATGGGGTGTGACCAATCAATCCCTTCTTTTTTGTTTCTCAGTCCTGATGAGATTTTAGGCATATGCACACATGCTCCTGGTGTGTTTTTCAAGCCGCCAGTGCTGGCATTCGAGCCACAGTCAGCCATGTAGATTCTGGATCGCTTAACACTAGGCTACGGGGGCCGGCTTGCCCTTCTGCATGTGGACATCTGGTTGTCCATTTGTTAAAGAGACTATTCTTTCTCCATTGAATGTCTTGGTACCATTGTCAAAAATAAGTTGACTGTAGATGCAAGGGCTTATTTCTGGACTCTTAATTATTTTCTGTTGGTCTTTATATCTGTCCTTAGGCTGGTACTGTCTTGATTACTTAGCTTTGTAGTAAGTTTCGTTTTTTGTTTTTTTTTTGAAGAATTATTTAACTTTATTTTATCTTAATTTGACCTGAGATGGACAGAGAAAGAGAAATTGAGAAAGCAAGCCAGGTCCGGTACTCAAACTGCAGATGGCCATGTGGGAGTCCAGCATCTTTAGCCATTACGTTACCTGCCAGCCCTGCCTTGTAGTAAGTTTGTTTTTTTAATGGTGAAAAAAAATGTGTTTTTAGAATTAGCCAGCTGGACTGGCTTTAGATAATCCCAATTTTTGTTGGCAACATCCAAAGCATTGTAATCAGGAGCCAGTTGCATGTACATGTGCCTTCTCTCCATCAGGCCTGATTAGAGTGTTGACCTTGACCACGTCAGTATCATAGAGCTTTTTCACAGCTCGTGTGATCTGGTGCTTGTTGGCCTTGACACTCACAATGAACACAAATGTGTTGTCCTCTATCTTCTTCATGGCAGACTCGGTGGTCAGGGGGAACTTGTTGCTCCTGGGGGTGCTCTTCCAAGGATATTTGGGCTGCCCCTGCAGCCAAAGAGTCTTGGGCCTCCGGAAGGTGGGTGATGTACAGATCTTTTTTTCCTTATGACTGTGGACGCCTTTCAGCACTGCCTTCTTGGCTTTCAGCTTTAACTTCAGCTCTGGGAGGGGCAAGAGCTTCCTTCTTCGCTTTTGGTGCCATCTTGGCGAAAAGTGTTAAGTTTTGAAATTGAGAGTTATGAGTCCATATTTGTTCTTTTTCAAGATAGTTTATTCTGTGTCATTTGTATTTTTATGTGCTTCTTAACATGGATTTATTAGTTTTTGCATTCTGCAAACTGTGGCTTCTTTCACTTACAGTGTCATGAGTGTTTCCCTTTTCATACTCTGTAATTGAGCCATCCAGAACAGTAACCATGATCCAGATGTGACTGGTAAGCACTGGAAATGTGGTCAGTGTATCTTGAGATATGTAAACTACACGCTAGATTTTTGAAGACAGTGTGGAAAAAAGAATGCAAAATATCTCAGTAATTTTTGCTATTGATGGATTACATTGTAATGCTAAAATTTTATGTTGTGTTAACTAACGCACATTAAATAATCTTACATGGGACTGACTTTGTAGAATAGCAAAAATATGCTACTCGAGAGAAGCCAGATTCCGCATGGCGACCCTGGCCTGGTTAGCCTGAACCATCCTGTGTGCATGTGTGAGTGCCCAAGTTCCAGTGGATAGGAGGACTGGAGAAGGGACCATGGCATGGAGGGTTCTCATCTCTCTCTTTCCCCCTCTCCCATGCATGCTCATGCACTGTATCATGGGGAAAAACTTTTTTTTAAGAATTATTTTATTTAACTTTATGTATTTATTTACTTGTTTTAATTTGACCAAAGAGGGACAGAGAGAGAGAGAGAGAGAGAAAGCAAGAAAGCAAGCTGCCAGATCTTGGACTCGAACCGCAGTCAGCCATGTGGGAGTCCAGTGCCTTTAACCACCATGCCACTTTGCCTGCCCCCCAAAAAAGAAAAAAACAATTAAAAGTTTGCCAGAATGCACATATACTCATTAGAGGAAGAGGGACAAAAGGGAGAGGGAGAAAGCACCCTTTAGTGGGGTGTGGTCACTGCAGTCCCTTCTCCATTTCATCATCCTTTTGGGATTGGAGCTTGCATGGACACAAACCTGGCTTATTTTTCAGGCTACCAAGGCCAGGATTCTAACTGCAGGTTGGCCATCTGAGATCCAGCTCCTTCAAGTACTAGGATAGGACTAGTCCTAAAAAATCATTTGAGTTGTTTCTTTTTAGTTTTTTAAGATGGTTACTAGAAGACTTAAAACTATATATGTGATTCACATATTTCTGTTGGACAGAGGTACTATTTATTTATTACTTTATTGCTAGAGGGGATGTATGTGCATGAGGGTGGGAGAACACCTTCGAGTGGGGCATGGGCATGCTGCAACCCTTTTCCTCTATGTCTCCATCCCATCATCATTTGTGGCATA